GGTAAAAGGGGCCTGTGATGGTGGTGCATGAGGTTTAGGTTTGTTCGGGCGTGGGTTCAGCTTTCATGCAGCACACTGAGAATTTAGACAGGACGGACTTTGCAGGCTGCAGGAATGTAGTCGTTCATCAGAGGCATGTTCTGCGTTGAAAAGGTTCGTGACGGTGTTTTGGAACTCCTCTTTCAGCGATCGCAGCTTATCATGAAAGCTGTTGAACGGTTTAGGGTTATACTCGTTGACGACGTTATCTCAGACATCCTGAGGTCCTGACTTCGGCCAGAAGTCCGGCCCTCAGGTTGTGTGAGATAACCCTGAACCCTAAGCTCTAAACCCTATAAACCCTAAGCCCTGAACCCTAAACTCTAAACCCTAAACCCTGAGCCCTGAACCACTGCCACCATCACGGCAACCGCCACAACCACCAAACCACCAACGACACCTCGACCGTTGCAACTTCCTCGCGACGATACCTGCTACCACAACCAGAAATATCCTTGTCCCAGCGACGGCTGCTTTACCACGACTACTGGTGTAGATTTCCAAAGCCACTGCTCCTACTGCCTGGAGTTGCTGCTGCTGCTGCCGCGACGCCACCTGCCGTACATTCAGACTTTGTGTCGCTTTTGTTGATAAAGATGCTCCTGGTGTAGTAACCCCAAACTGGTAATTAGTCGTCGTCGCCGTCGTTGAGGTAGTGGTGGTGGTGGCGGTGGTGGTGGTGGTGTTGGTGGTGGTGCTGGTGGTAGTGGCACTAGCAGTGGCGGTGGTGGCAGGAGTAGGAGTAGGAGTAGGAGTATAGCAGTAGTAGTAGTAGTAGTAGTAGTAGTAGTAGTAGTAGTAGTAGTAGTAGTAGTAGTAGTAGTAGTAGTAGTAGTAGTACAGGTACTGCTACTACTACTACTACTACTACCACTACTACTACTACTACTACTACTACTACTACTACTACTACTACCACTACTACCACGACGACGACGACTACTACTACTACTATATTGTAAGGGAGCAAAAGAAAGCAACAAAATCAATTAACTAAGATGTAGCTGAACAATAGCCTTTGGAAATAGGTCAAACTAAAACTCCCTTCTTTAGTTTAGCTCACCGCTCATTCTCTGCCTTCTTCTCACATGAAAAAGAGAGGTCAAACAAGAGTCTATTGGTTCGTCCGTTTTGGTTTTGCAGTAGTAGTAGTAGTAGTAGTAGTAGTAGTAGTAGTAGTAGGAGTAGTAGTAGTAGTAGTAGGAGTAGTAGCAGGAGTAGTAGTAGTAGTAGTAGCAGTAGTAGTAGTAGCAGTAGTTGTAGTAGTAGTAGTAGTTGTTGTTGTAGCAGTGGTAGTGGTAGTAGTAGTAGCAGTAGTAGTGGTAGTAGAAGTAGTAGCAGTAGCAATAGCAGTAGTAGTAGTGGTGGTAGTGGTAGTCGTCGTCGTAGTGGTAGTGGTAGTGGTCGTGGTCGTGGTCGTGGTAGTGGCAGCAGCAGCAGCAGCAGGAGTAGCAGCAGCAGCAGCAGCAGGAGGAGTAGCAACAGCAGCAGCACTAGTATTGGTCTAGCAATACTAGCAGTGCGGGAAGTACTGGATGTGCGAGTATGATTAGTTGTTCTCATGGTACTTGGGGTCGTAGTCGGCGACGCCGCCGTCATCGTAGAAGCAGGTGCACTAAACAAAGGCGAGAGTGCACCATTTCAGGAAACACAAATGTGCGAAGGATACATAACCATTGAAAACATGTTGAGAACAGCACAACAGTTCAAGAGCGGTAAGTATTGCAACGGGCCGCCCTGAGACATTCAAACTTTTGTTTGTTCTGCAATTGCTTCGTAGACTCCACCGCCCCGTTCATAAAAAAGACCCCTTCAGTCACAATAAGAAGCCTGTGTAATTTGAGGGCCATGCCCCAAATTGAAGGAACGCTAAGCCCTAAACCCTGAACTCTAAACCCTAAAGCCCTCATCCTCGAACCCTCGACCTTGAACCCCTATAGATCCCTTATGGATCCCTTAAAAGAGCCCTAATCCTTGAACCCCTTAGCCTGAAGTCTAAACCCTAACCCCTAAACCCTAACCCCCACGACCTACGTGGACCTTACCCTCATCTTCGAACCCTTCACCCTGAGCGTTGTACAGTAAACTCCATAAAGTTGGACACCGGATTAAGGCCAAACAGTGCTGGGATTCACTATACATTACTCGTAAGGATTGAGGCTATTGGGCTTCCAACTCTTGGCCACAATGTGTTAGTAGTAAAGATACAAATTGTCAAACAAATGACACTGATGAATGGAAGAATTATCCATATTATATTGATCTAGCTATTTTCAATGAATGATTAACTACTAACCCCCTAAACCCTAAACCCTAAACCCTACTGTAAGTCTCTGGCGCGAGGTCAACTTAACCAAGTACGACACGGAAGCTTGGCCCTCGGCCGTGGGATTTTAGCTGAGGGTTGACCTTTTGTAGTCTCCATTGTAGTTCCCTTTTTCCTGTTAACCCCAAAAAGTGTATATACCTATTAATGTAGCTATAGATATGTAGATATGTGTGTGTATATATGTGTATAGATATGGTCACACATCCCCCCCGTGATCCACCGCCGGCTTTCTTCCATATGTAAAACATATAGAAAGCACTGTAAATACCGGCTATATATATATATATATATATATATACGTATTGTATAGGATCCTAGCCATGAAATTGGTTAACCAAAAAGGAACTACAATGCAGACTATAGGGAGGGTCTAAGGGAGTCTTACAAGTATAGGGAGGGTTTAAGGGAGTCTTACAAGTAGGGGTAGCGCAGGGAGACGGCGCTACGCACTAAAAGAAGCAAAGGCCTTTCCCTAAGTGTCCATGTACCCAAATAGACAAGTGCACCTGAGTTGTCGAGGTCTTTGCCGTGGTCTGTGGAGGCATAGCTGTGGTTGGGCTACCGCCATGCGCCCAGTCATCAGCTTCTAATAGGGGACCCAAAAAGCACATAAGCATAATAAGCATTTTATGGGGATATCCCTACCTTATCGGGCTTCTTTTCAAGGGGGTTTATATGGAATATCCCTAGCCTGATTTTTGCTTATGAGCTTTCTTGGGGCCCTAAAGGGATTATTGATCCTACTTTTTGGTTCAATGGCGGTGTGTACTCACTTGGGGATTCGTTTCAATACTTGGGACCCGAATATCGATCAGGCACCAGCTTGAAAAAGCGAGTAGCTTACATTGCGTGGAATTGTTGCGATTACGACCGTACCACTACGACCACGACAACGACTGTGATGACGATGACTGCAACTGCTACTTCATTCCTGTAACTTCATTACCGCAACAACGACGATAACGACGATGACTATCGCAGATCTACTACTAGATCTGCTACTACTACTACTACTACTACTACTACTAGATCTACTACTACTACTACTACTACTACTACTACTACTACTACTACTACTACTACTACTACTACTACTACTACTACTACTTACTACTAACTACTTACTACTAACTACTAACTACTAACTACTAACTACTACTACTACTACTACTACTACTACTACTACTACTACTACTACTACTACGAATACCACTACTACCACCACTACTAGTACCACTACTACTAATACTGCTACTACTACCTACTACTACTACTACTACTACTACTACTACTACTACTACTACTACTACTACTACTACTACTACCACTACTGCTACTGCTACTGCTACCGCTTCTGCTACTGCTACTGCTACTCTACTGCTACTGCTGCTACTGCTACTGCTACTGCTACTGCTACTGCTACTGCTACTACTGCTGCTACCACTGCCAGCCAGTACCACTGCCTCTGCCACTGCAACTACTGCAACTGCCACTGCACTGCCACTACCGCTACCACGACCTACTACCACGACTACTCCAGCCGCTGCTGCTGCTGCTGCGGCTGCCGCTACCACTACTACCACTACCAAGAGATTCCAATATACCTCAAATAATAGGGGACCATAATATTTTGATTTAAGGTATATTCCTTAATTAAGGAGTATTGGGCTCTCTGGGTACCAGTAGTTTCATGTCCGAGGCTTTTCGCCGAGTGGCGCGGAGCGGCTTGTGGGCACAGGGCCAAGAAACAGAATAGGGTCTAGGGTTTAGGGTTGGGAGTTCAGGGTTTAAACTTAGGGGTTGAGGGGCTTAGAGTTTCGGGTTTAGGGTGGCACATCGATTGGTTTTCGGGTCAAATCTGAAGCATGTTACCCTATAAAACACGAATGACAACCCGAGGCAGCTGCCCAGGAACACTACTTGGAGATTCATTGGGACTCAATAGGGTTTCGGGGGCTAAGGGGTTTAGGGGTTTAGGGTTTAGGGGTTTAACGTTTTGGGTTTACGGTATACGATCATGGGACCGAGGAAGTAAAATTATAGGTACCTTGATTGGAGAATTGCTTTATTCACCCTAGAAAACCTAAACCCTAAACCCTAGAGTGAGGGAAAATGAGCTGATTAAAAAAAGAACACCCTTAGAGTGAAGCTCGTACCCTTAAAGGAACCCGATGATAAGGAGTACTTGGACCCTTAAACATAGGGTCAAGTTTAGCCACAAACCCCTAAACCCCAAACCCCAAAACCCCTAAACCCTAAACCCTAATCCTACCTACCTTCATCCCACCTTTCGAGGCCTCTCTTCAGCTCCTTAGAGTGAAGCTGAGCCACTGAGGCTCAGCGATCGGCCCGAGCGCTTTTTTGTGCTTCCGCGCGAGGTGTCTCGGCTGGAAGAGGGTTTTTTCCCTGAGATCCCAAAAATACGATTTCAGGGTTTGGGGTTTAGAATTTAGGGTTTTGGGTTTGGAGTTTAGGGCTTAGGGATTTAGGGTTTAGCGTGTGTATACAGTGTGCGCGCGGTGGGTGCGCCTTCCACTTTATAGGAATAGGGGAGCACCCACATACCAAAGAGAGGGGACCTCATTATACCGGATCGATGTCCGTATTGTGTGAGGCGTAGCCGAGTCACTTCCGTCCCCGTCTACCGGGAGGCTTTACTTGGGGGGGCGGGGGACTTAGCAAGTAGTTAGTAAGTACCCTAAAAAGGACCCTAATTGGGGTTATGGTACTTATGAGTCCTTAAAATAACCAGTTACTAAGTCCCCCGACCCTCCAAGTACCCTCCCTCACCGTCCTGCCGAGATGCTCGGCCGAGGGCCTCGGTCGGAGCCTCGAGCACCCATGCAAATGGTCAGCGGCGCTCTCGGCAGTTTAGAGTTTTAGGGTTTAAGGCTTAGAGTTTAGGGTTTAGGGTTTAGGGGTTTAGGATGTAGGGTCTAGGGTTTTGGAGTTAAGGGTTTATAGGGGTTTAGGGGTTTAGGGTGAGTTCCTTAAAGGGTTTTGTAAGGGATCTATAAGGGCTCCATAAGGGGAATTAAGGAATATACCTTCAAATATAAGGGTTTGAAAATCAACATCGCCGTCATGTAGATCATGAAGGTTTGGATTGTCATCTTGTAGATTCCCAGCCATGGTAATTGTTGTTGTACGTCTCAACGACTGAGAGACAGGGGCAAAGCTTCCATGGGCTTACCAGGCAGTCTACTATTTTCACGCGCAACGCACAAAGCGAGTTCTACTCTGCTTACGTCTCTTGTCTACGACAAGTGGCCTTGCAACGTGTTACTCGTGCATGGCCTAGATCATCAATGGTCTCTGACCTTCAATGAGCCGTCAAGGCTATGGTTGAATTCTTCATTAGCAGCATCAGAGTGGAACTACGACCTCTCTACAGAGCTACGTGTAGGGAGGGAATTCTACACTCCTCCTTGGCATTCCCTACTGGAAATGCCACCAACCTAGATTCCCGACCTTGCCGCTGCAGTCAAACAATATCGACAAAACATACGCCTATTTGTACTCGAAACATTCCTCAAAGCGTGGCAATCGGGAAACAGATGGATGGCACCCGGAGTCCTGCTATTCGTGGTTATCAACTCTGCACTGCACAACTCCTCATGGGTCATCCCTCGAGGAAAATTCGTTTGCACAGCTACTTCCCTCCGTGTCGGTAACATACTTGTAACCTGGGCTGGAGGCGGAACTCCCGGCGCTTCGGCGAAGGTGGTAGGTGGAGGATGAACATAAGCAGACGAGGTAGAGGAAGTTGCAGCCTGACGAGTCTGGCGCGTAGGATCAACCTGGATGGTCATTGGTTGACCCGTAGCAAACCTTGGGATGGGTGGCGGTTCCTGAGAGGACCGATCCCTTCTCACTTCACCAAGATTCACCTGTACCATCGGCGCTGCAGCATTGCAGGAGGAAGAAGACGCTTCATCATCAACATCACTTCGCCTTCCCCTATAATTAAGGCCTTCAAGTTCAGCACCTATGGCCCTCCTCACAGCCTCCTGCCTTCTCTGCCTTCTAGCACTTGCACCTTCATCTCCAGCATTCACCATATTAATTCTTGGCTCGTCACGGAAACATCTTGACAGACAGTACTTGCCTGTCTCCCACACAAACAAAGCAGACAGGAGCATCATCACTGCTACTATCGATAACTCTAGGCTGAGAGGCTCAAGGTCATCATCCCCTTGATCGCTTGCCTCCGATTCCATCGTGTGCAAGACCAATATCAATAACACCAACCTTAGTCTCGCCCCCGTCAAGTCGTTACTTGGCACCGGGGAGGCAGCTCTAGCCACCAAGGCAACTTGTGCATCTAGGGGTTCTGGGCCTAAACCAACCAACCAACCTAAGAAGAGGTGTCTTGGCCCAGGTAGTATTTTGGTAAGGAGGTCAGCAAGCTGATAATCACCCGGACAGTGGTCCACTTCCAATTCCTTATTATCAACCATCTCCTTGACAAAATTCGACCGAACCCTAAGGTGCCTTGTTCTCATCGAACCAGTGCCTTCTGCTAGTGAGATAGCTGCCAAGTTATCAACCAAAAGCAACTTAACTCCCAAATCCTTCGTTAAATCTAAAATCATCGCTTCGGTGCTTTGTGCCAGCACCACTGCTTCACAACCCGCAATCAATTCACTCTCTGCAGTAGAGAGGGATATCAAAGTTTGCTTCTTTGCCTTCCAGGTCACAGGCCGACCAAGGAACGTCACCAGTATCCCAGAAACGGAGTGGGCTCCGTGTGGCGAAAAGGATGCATCGGAGTACACGACTATGCGTTTGGGACACTGCACTGGGATGAGGGAAAGCCTAAAATCCATGGTTGAACCCAAAAAATCCAACAAGCGTAACCCTATCTTGGTAACGTAGCTTGGGGCCCTTGTGCACCACGATCCCATCAAGGATACTGCAAATGCCATGTCCACCCTTGTACGTTGAGTGAGCCAGAGAAGTTCGCCTGTTATTTTCTGAGCCTTTCTCAACGTGTCCACATCGTAGTTGGACTCTTCCGAGGGCAAATCACGTACCCACTCCTTAGGGAGAGGTGTCTTATGGCGGGGTTGAAGTTGGTAGGATCTAAGGAGTTCCTCAAGTATCCCCTTTGGCCCAACATAAAACCCGAATTTCCTTGGGCATCCAGGCCGTGGTAAATTTCAACACCAAGGAAGGTCACATGATTTCCTTCCACTGTTCCTTCCAAGGGGGTGCATTGCCAAGTGCCTTTTAGCCAAGCATACGCACATTGAGCCTCCTCTGAGGTGGTTAAGAACATGATATCATCCACATAAACCAGCGCATATCCCACTAGCTCATCCCTGTCATTGAGGATTTTCCAAACATTTCCTTCAACCGTGGATTGCATGAGCCTGGTGCGACCCGTCACGCCTTCCCAAATAGCTGTACGCAACACACTATCCCGATATTCAGACCACCACCGGGGGGATTGTCGCAAGCCGTACACGGCCTTGCATATCTCCCATATCTCATTCGGCTCAGTAATTCCCATAGCCTCCAAAACCTTGGGAGGCCTGCGGAGTATTTTCCCTCTCATACCCGCAGGCAGCGGGGCAAGGAGGAATGCGTTCTTCACGTCCGTTATGAAAGCAAGGAACTCACGCACGGCACACTCAATCAGGATTGCCCTGAGCACTTCAGATGGGACCCCAGATGCATAGAGTTCCAAGGAAGGGTCCTTCTCTTCAAAGTTGCCACAGCCTACCACACGACATTTCCTCCGGTACAGGCTACCATCACTGCCTGGTTTCACAGTGAAGACAGTTTTCGCCGGCAAGACCTGTGCGCCTGGTGCTGTCACCGCCTGGAGGGCATCCTTCCCCTTAAGTCTCTTGATTCCCCGCATCCCTTCTAAAGCACCAACCTCAGCCGTGGCGGCTGGAGTCCAAGCTTCCAGATGCCCTTTCACTTCTGCCGGGGAAACATTATGTACAACCTTAAGGGGGATGGTCAATCCTCTTAAGAGCTCTTCCACATTAGGGGTATAGAACGAGTCATCTATTCTTCTCACCCCATAAGTGGTAGCAGCTGTATCCGAAAACGCAGTCAAGGGATCATACGTGGAAACTCCAATCCGGCTAGAGCCACTTGATGCTCTCACACTTCCCTGGGGATCATCATCAAATTTTGTGCAGGGAGCATTGGCCGACACCATTTTACATTGGTACCCGGAGGGCGTACCCGAATCGGTGTCACTTGTGCAGGAAGTATCCGTCTCTTCTCTACACTCCTCCTGATCGGGTGCACTTTGGTTGGCAGTAGGCTCAAACTGCTCCCACACATCCTGCATATGCATGCAATATTCCGCATAATCTTCATAGGTACTCAGCTCCCCTTCAAAAGGGTTACCACTCACGGAAGCGGGCATTGCAATACTGGAGGATCCATTGGACATTTCAACCCCAAACGGCGGGTTGGTTGCTTCAGAACCTTTAGGTAGGGAAATGGAACTGGTTCCCATCGGCGACGGGTGGAGGGGTCCACAACCGTCTTGGTCTTGGTGTATGGAGGGAGGCTTAATCTGCGGATCGCAACTGGACGATGCGAAACATGACTGCGCAGGTGCTGGCTCGACTTGAATCTGTCGGTGACAATATCCAACCCATCTTTGCTCGCTCCTGCGTCTTTCTTCGCTCACTATCCAGTCATCTTCACCAAGCCTATCCTCACCCCTAACACCCAAACCAGGTACGGGAGGTCCAGGACTACGAGATCCCAAAGTCCTATTCTGGAAAATCCAGGGTATCTTTCTTTGCAACCTATCAATGAGCTGCACTTCACCAGTGGTCAACGCCGTAAGGTTTGGTGCGTCTGGCCTCACGGTGCCAGCTGGGTGTATTCCCCTCATCACCCTCTTTGCCAGCAAAGGTGATAAACCAAACTCGATTAAATCTTCCTCGTACAGAAATGGTAAATCACTTGCCTCCTGCACACCTAGAGCTGCCAACCTTTGGTGTGCGGCTTCAGCATCCCTTTCAAGCAAGTATTCATAGAAATCAGTTTCCTCAAGATTTAAAGCCGGTTGAATTCTGACTCCATTAGTGGAAACATCCCAACCCACGGGTTGCGTTACAGAATCTTCTTGGATATCCTGACTCAAGGAGTACTCTGACCTCGGAGTTATTGGCTCCAGGGGTGGCGGTCCTGAATCCTCACTCGATGAGGTTTCACTTTCAGTTTCGCTGGTATTCCAACACACTGCTCTTATGCTAGCCACCGGCTCCTCCTGAGGCCTATAACGGAAACCTAACTCCCTCAGAAGGATCTGATCACCTGAAGGAATTTTTGCAGTTCCCAACGGGGTGTATCCCACTATCAACCAATCTGGGGACCTATGCACGGCATGGGGCAGGCG